TGATGAACTGGTAGGTCAAAAATATCTAGAACCCATGCTTCTGTATCACTCACTGTCCTTCTATTTTCAGTTATAACTTTTCAGGCATTTCCCAGAGCTTCGCCCTGCCTTCTTCTTAGGCTATGGCATTATAGTGATGATTATGTGCTTTTCTGTACCCAAATGAAAAACTGTAGGATTCATTTAAAAACTTCAGGCAATCACGAAAGTATAAATATGAAGTAAAAACTACTAAAAACTTGATCACGTAGAGATAACCACTAGCTCATTGTATCCAGACATAATCCATTACCCAGATGTTAGACTTCATCACTGCACATGTAGCTGCCTACTGAAAATGTTCTCTAGTGCCCATTTAAACTCATTCTGTGCATGTCCATGGGGCTACCCTTGTCCTGGTCAGTCCTGCTCACAACTTTGTGATTGTCATAGAGCATACAACTTTGTAATTGTCATAGAGCATACACAGGCAACATTTATTACATCTTCTACAGGTAATCGTTCAATATAGTTGATTCCTTTCTTCCATCAGTAATGATCTACAAGGATGGGTAGCCACCACCAACAATCCCACCTTAAAAGTCATCACTGGAGTGTGCCACTCTTATGAGGATATGTCTTATTTGTCAAGAATGTTGAGGGTAGAAAAAAATCAGAACCACAAACCAAATCTTCATGCTCCCTCCCCCCACTGCAGGTCTACACGCCTTCAGATTTAGTTTTCAAAAGTTTTTCAATATATCTACCAAAGCACTTTTTTTCCCTGCTTGAAAACCTTCAGAGATTTCCTGTTGCCTCCAGTGGTGGCCCTCTGTTATTAGTACACACATACCACTAGTGGGATACAGGGTTTTTCATAACTGAGCATTCATAGAATGCCTGATTTCTTTCCATTATGGTAGGCTATTGGGTGAGGGGTGGGGTGGAGCTTTCCCTCTGATGATTAAACTTTTATTTTTTCTATATAGCTTCTGCGACATGGTGTTGGTCTGTCAACAAGTTCTGACAGTGAAATGATTACTCAGTTACTAGCATATACCCCTCCACAGGAACAAGATGACACACCAGACTGGGTAGCAAGGTAATTGTAAAACTGGATTAAACTTGCAGCTCTGGTAGTGAGAACTTTGCCTTGCATGTGTTTGTAACTGAAGTTATTCACTCAATTATTTAATTAATTCCAGGATTAAAAATTTAATGAAGGAGGCACCCACAGCATACTCCCTGCTTATAATGCACAGAGATGTTATTTATGCAGTACGAGATCCTTATGGAAATCGTCCTCTATGCATTGGTCGTCTTATTCCAGTATCTGATATAAATGAGAAAGGTAATGAACTTCAGAAGGCATATAATTTTATAATGTTTTTCAAAGTTATTGTCCTACTATTGGCAAGTCCTGAAATCTTGAGATATGTGAAGCTTGTAGGTGAGAAGGGGATAGGTAAAAAAGAAAAAAGTGATATTCTTAGTTTTTAAAGTACATTTCATTGAGTACTTGTGAGGATGAATCATTTTTAATGTGTTTAATGGACATTCCTATTTTTTCCTGTCTGAATTGCTTACTCATATCCTTTGCCTGGCCTTTCATTTCTGCAGTATGATTTTAGTGATTTTCTTTTTTGACTTATCAAGATGTCTTATTCAATTCATAAAATCATAATGTTAGAAGGAATTTTGGAGAATCATTTATTTTCAAGTGAGAATCCATATGCTCTTAAAATCATACAAATGGCTATTCTGTGAGGTTTATTTATTTATTATTTATTTGGTATTTAACTTTTGTTCAAATAGCCTCTTTAAAATTTTTTGAATCCGTTAACTGAATTGATTATCTTGTGATTTATAGAGAAAAAAACATTAGAAACAGAAGGATGGGTGGTGTCTTCAGAATCTTGTAGCTTCTTATCTATTGGTGCAAGGTAAGTTTTACCTCATTTGATACATTATCTTTTCCCACATTGATAAGAAGTTTTTCTTTTGATATTTACGTGAAAGTTTTCTTTCTCATGTCTGCAAGAAAATATTTATAAATGCATTTTCTTCCTTTTTTTTTTTTTTGAGACAGGGTCTCGCTCTGTCTCCTAGGCTGGAGTTCAGTGGCGTGATCACCGCTCACTGTAGCAGCCTCCAGCTCCCGGGCCCAAGCAATTCTCCTGGCTCAGCTTCCCAGAGTAGCTAGGACTACAGGCGCGAGCCATCACGCCAGGCTAATTCTTTAATTTTTTTGTAGAGACAGGTTCTCACTGTATTTCTCAGCCTGGTCTTGAACTCCTGTGCTCAAGCAATCCTCCCACCTCGGTTTCCCAAAGTGCTAGGATTACAGGCATGAGCCACCATGCCCGGCCTGTAGTTGCATTTTCTTAATGTACATTGTGCTCAGCAGTTGTACAGAGTTTAACTTTAATGTTTTAGTAATATCTTCTAATTCTGAAACTGGCATCCTTCTTTCAAAATATCACAAGACTTCTTTTAGAAAGGAAGAACTTCTTCAACAAGGAATAGTTAAAATAGGAAAGCTTAAGCCAGGATACAAATTTTTTCTTTAGCCTTTATTCCTTTAAAACTCGAATAAACTTAGGGCCCTTATTTTTTCAATTCCAGATTAGAACTTAGTAGGAAAAAAAAGACAGAAATTACTGCTGAAGGTATATTACTTTTTTTTTTTAAAGCCATCTCCAGATTTTGTATTAAATGAATCCATTTTTTCTCTATAAGGGAGGGGACTTTTTTGTGTGCTTTATAATTGATATTATCATCAGCCTTAAGGACTGGTTCGTTAAAAGTATTCTTTCTTTATTTCCCAAGATACTACCGTGAAGTCTTGCCTGGAGAAATTGTGGAAATATCCAGACATAATGTTCGAACTCTTGATATTGTATCAAGATCTGGAGGAAACCCAGTGGCTTTTTGTATCTTTGAGTATGTTTATTTTGCAAGACCAGATAGTATGTTTGAAGGTATGTAAATATTTTTTCTTTCACTATTCATATAAATTTCTTAGTTATCTCATTGAAATATGGCAGTTCTTGGCCCAAAGGCTTACTTGGCTCTTTGAAGGCACATAGTTACATGTTGTAGATGTAGGAGTAAGCCCACAAGATCACTATTTTCCTTTCCTCTCAACTCTTGGATTTTGTGTTTCTGTTAGGAGTAAGGATTATGATTTTCAGATCTATATTAATGTCAAATTTTTAAAAAAGCTACACAGTTAAGTCCCCTAATTTGTGTATTTCCACTTTAATGTTTTCATATGTATTGCTTTTCTTTTTATACTCGGTCTGTAGAGTTCTAGCACTAGTTTTTTAGAATAGCAATATTGTATTATGCTAAGTAAAAATAATCTATTTCCTTTTCCAAACACACCAGACCAAATGGTTTATACAGTAAGGTACCGTTGTGGTCAGCAGCTGGCGATTGAAGCACCTGTGGATGCAGATTTGGTTAGCACTGTTCCGGAATCTGCTACACCTGCTGCTCTTGGTTATGCAGGAAAGGTATTTTCTCTTAATTAACATGCACTAAAGTGCTCTGCTAGCTGTAGAATAAGAAAACCCTGCCTATAAAGAGAAATTCATTAACTTACTGTAAAGAGGAAGGAAGATTTGGGGGTTAATGTTAGTTCCTTTACAAGCAATATTCATTTTCCAGCCTTTTTATTCAATGACACTATTTTAGTGAAGATCACAAAAAGTTTCACCCGAAGACTAGATTGGCCCTCCTCTTTTTAAAAAGATAACGTCATCAATATAAAGTTGGCCCTTGAACAGGCAGGGGTTAGGAGCACTGACCACCCTGCCCCCTGACTCAGATCTGCATATAACTTTTGACTCTCCCAAAACTTAACTACTAAATAGCCTACTGTTGACTGGAAGCCTTACTGGTAATACAGAAGTCAATTAACACATACTTGTATGTAATATGTATTATATACTGTATTTTTACAATAAAGTAAGCTAGAGAAAAAAATGTTATTAAGAAAATCATAAGGAAAAAAAATGTCTTTACTATTCAGTAAGTGAAAGTGGATCATCATAAAGTTCTTGATCCTAGTTGTCATCTTCACGTGGAGTAGGCTGAGAAAGAGGTGGAAGAGGGGTTGGTCTTGCTGTTTCAGGGGTGGCAGAGGGAGAAGAAAATCCACCTACAAGGACCCGTGTAATTCAAACCCATGTTGTTCAAGGGTCAGCTATATATAGAATTTAGTGATTAATATTTATTTATTATTAAGATCTACTTCTTGAAGTATTCTAAAAAGTATCTCCATAGACTACTGGTTTTAATTCTTCTGCCAACAATTTTTAAATATGTGAATTTTTCTGACAGTGATTTATTCTTTGTCACGTCTTCACATGCTTAGTGTCCTCTTTCAAGATAGAGGAATAATATTTGTTTAAGAAAGATGTGTTATAAATTCTAGCAAAATGAATTGGTTTTTCCACCAAGTATATTACTTTTAGTGGTTTTTCTTTTTGCCTTTTTCGCTCCCCACAGTTTAAATAGTGAAGGAAAATTGTAATCTGGTGATGGAGCATCGACAGTAACAACCACATTTTGAAGTATTACTTACATATTATAGTGGCAACCCAACCTAGAGAAAATAGGAGCCTGGGGTATTCTGTGTACTGCTGTTCATTGTCCTTTTTATTTCTTTACCAGTGTGGACTTCCGTACGTGGAGGTGCTGTGTAAAAACCGATACGTAGGACGAACCTTCATTCAGCCAAACATGAGGTTAAGACAACTTGGTGTTGCAAAAAAATTTGGAGTATTGTCAGACAACTTTAAAGACAAAAGAATTGTTCTTATAGATGATTCGATTGTGAGGGGCAATACCATCTCACCTATAATAAAATTGCTCAAAGAATCTGGTGCAAAAGAGGTAACTAATATTAAAACATATCCTAAAGCATCAATAATTAACAATGTGATACTGGCTTTGAAAATACAATTTAGTATGGTGAATCAAAATGGATAGTTCAATATAATAAATTAACATTTTTCATATCAGGTTGGTTTAGGAATAACTATGTAGCAACTTGGACAACATGTAATAGCCATTCTTATGCTATATACACACTACATACTAAATTTAATCCTTAATAGATTAAAAAGCTCAGTGTAAAAAGTTAAAATTTCTACAATTTAGAAAGTTTCAAAGATAGTTGTGATTATGATTTTCCAGCATTTTTTAATGACTGGTTAGGATTATGATCATCTTACTCTTTGGAATTTTATGAAAATTATGTAATACACAAAGGTAAAAGTAAATTCAACATCTATTACAATAATGAAAAAGAATAGACAAAAACAAAGAACAAAGGCTTAAATATCTACCTGTAGGAAGACAGTTTAGTAAATTGATCTATTCAGTGTGATGAAATGTGATGCGGCCATCAAAAGCTGTAATTGTGAAGACTGC